AACCCAAACTCACAACAACATGCAGAGATGGAGTTTGAGACGCTCCACACATGTAAATGATAACAGTTCCTGTGGAATTACTGTGAACGGAGCTGCTGTGTGACGCAAGTACATAATTAAAGCGCATATGCTGTATTAGAACTGCATCGCATATAATTATTTAATTAAATCGTAGCGTTTGTGAAATCACAATTATGCTTGATTATTTTTAAATGGGTTTAATATCATGCAGCCTTGGAAAACACAAACAAAATGTGTTTTATACATTCTCGTCTGTGAAATGCGCCACTTCCGGTATTTTGCCGGTTAGTCGACATGAGCCAAATGAAGTCGAGGATTTAAAAATAACAGTGTTCTATTTTAATATACTTTAAAATATAATTTATTTCTCTGATGCAAAGCTCAATTTTCAGCATCATTACTTCAGTCTTCAGTGTCACATGATCTATCAGAAATCATTCCAATATGCTGATTTATTATCAATGTTGGAAACAGTTTTTGCTGCTTCATATTTTTCTGGAACCTGTGATACTTTTTTCTTATGATTCTTTGATGAATAAAAAGTTTAAAAGAACAGCATTTATTCAAAATAGAAATCTTTTCTAACAATATAAGTCTTTACTGTCACTTATCAATTTAACACCTCTGAATAAAAGTATTAATTTCTTTCAAAAATAGAAAGAAAGAAAATACTGACCCCAAACTTTTAAATGGTAGTGTATACTATATTGTTACAAAAGATTTCTATTTTAAGTAAATGCTGTTCTTTTTTACTTTTTATTCATCAAAGAATCCTGAAAAAAACATCACAGGTTCCATAAAAATATTAAGCAGCAAAAACGGTTTCTAACATTGATAATAAATCAGCATATCAGAATGATTTTTGAAGGATCATGTGACACTGAAGACTGGAGTAATGATGCTGATGACAATTCAGCTTCGATCAAAGGAATAAATTATATTTTAAAGTATATTAAAATAGAAAACAGGTATTTTAAATTGCAAAAATATTTCACAATTGTTTTGATAAAATAAATGCAGCCTTGATGAGCGTAAGAGACTTCTTTAAAAAAACTAATTCTTACTGATCCCAAACTTTTGAACGGCAGTGTACATATTATAATAATTTCAAAACTAATGAAGAAAGAAGCTCAAAAGTGATTGCTTTATCATAATCTACTGTGCTTTATCAAATCATTTATATCTCAAATAACGCCTTGCTAAATAATGTCAAAAACACAAACAATGCATGATTTACACAGGTTTGAATAATTCTGAAAGTACTACACCCTTGGCATCAGACACTGGTGCAACATGTTGTGACATAAACATGCAGTATTTCAATCCATAATATGAATAATATCAAAACTGGTCTCACACAGAACTACTGGATGCAGCGCTGGAAGAGGACCAAGGTGGGACTCTGATCGCCAGGAAGGTGGGAGAAGCTGTTCAGAACACATTAGGAGCGGTAGTCACTGCTATAGACATCCCTTTTGGTGAGTTCTTCACTCCTCTAAGAGCCTATAAAAATGTTAACATGACAGTATGTTAATACTAATATGAACGCACTGGAAATACTGTTGAGTGTCAATCTATTATAATGTTTACTAATAATAAACCTTTGGCTTGTTCAAGTAACTCTTTCTGTGATTTTTAGGATTAAGCATTTTCATTTCAGAACAGTTACATACTTGTGCAGGAATATCTCAGCGTATATAAATGATCAAATGCATTTACTAGGTCTGGTAAAAGATGCCGCCCGTCCAGCATATTGGGTCCCTGACCAAGACATTCATTGCTGCCACCAGTGCCAGCGTGAGTTTAATGCCCGTCTCTCCATCCATCACTGCCGTGCGTGTGGACAAGGAGTATGTAACGACTGCTCCCCTGATCGCCTGGCCGTGCCCTCCAGGGGTTGGGACCATCCTGTGCGGGTGTGCATCACCTGCAGCCAGAAATCTGAAGAGCTCTAGCAGAGCCGAACATCACTCCACATTATAGGACACCCTCGTATTTGGCCAGTGCTTCAGAACAGGTTGGGAAGGAAGAAGCACTGCTCTCGAACCAATGAATGATTGTTTGAGAGGAACATCTCTGCCTTTTGTTCCAACACTTCATTCACATCATGCTCCTACATAAGCTGTTCACAGTTTAACATGTAATGGCCTACGTAATTTCTTCTTTTAATGGTTAAATCCAGCAGGAAAATAAATGTATGTCAGACCCTCGACAATCCTTTGTCTACCATGCAATATGTTACCTGTGGGCAGGCCCAGATGGAATTAACGTTTTTGGGAAAATCTGCAGAATGGGTTTAAACAAGGTAGAAAAAAAAAGTGTTAAACATGATCAAAGGTGCAAAATATGAATTATGTCCATTCTATTTCTGTGACTGCAGATCCATATGGGCCTTCCTGTGGGTAAAGGCAGCTAACATATGGCCTCTACGTGATACATAGACCGGTGCACAAATGATTGTTTACCATCCTGTTGTGTTATTCAATTTTCAGTTTTAGGAAAAATTTTCCGTTCATTTGCTTTTACCCGTTTAAAACCCAAGATTGTCCATATTGTTTAGCATTCCTTTACCCTCCAAGAAACCCTAGTGTAGATTTTAGATTAATTCCTATTTGTTTCTATTATTTGCTTATTATGGAACAGATCTGGCATGATCATGCTAAACTATCAGATGTTGTTCAGCATAATTCTTTATCATTTATTTTAAATGTGTGTACTCGAGCAGGGCGTTTTTGTTTTAAGTTTTTAAAAACGGACCTCTTTAATGAATCAGTACCACTGTTGCCGAATCAAACTGCATAGTGACTCTTAACACAACGCTGGTATTTGCTCTTATTTAGCCCCTGGTATGTGTTATGATCACTGTCAGTTAAATTGTTTTCTTGGCCAAATGAACACTCGTTATGTAGAATCAGGTTATCGTAGACTCAGTGAGCCATCATGTGTGGATGACTGACACAGACATAAGAAACATGAATATCATTTTATGTTCTTTGCACCTTGAATGCTAATTAAACTTGAGTACCTCTAAGAGTGTGGCTTAAATATAAAAATGTGTAAATGCATATTTGTACTTAAAGGGACAGTGCACCCCCCTTAAAATAAATAAATTATTATTATTTACCCCCCCCAACCAAAAAATGTGGTCGTCATTTACTCACCCTCGTGTTGTTCCAAACCTGTATGTTTTTAAAAGAAGATATTTTGATTTTATTTTTTCCCCTATAAAATGACAGTCAATGGGGTCCAACGTTGTCATTTTATGAACAAAAACAGTTAAAACATTAAATTCATGTTGGGATTTGAACTAAAGATACAGATAAACAAAGTTTGGATTTATTTTGAAAATTGAATGTTTCCCCTCTTTTTTTAACATTTTTTTTTACAAAAAGTTCCAGCAAAACGTTTCCCCAAAAGAAAAAAAACAAACAAACATGAAATTGCACTTTTAGGAGGTATGTTTCAAGTGACTATAATTTAGATATTATATCTAAAAATCTTTTACAAAAATCCATCTATTGATGATATAACGGACAAGTAGTATTCTGAATCCATCATAGTCTAATCCAGAATGTTTCTAAAAAAAACTAAAGGCAAATGGTAAAATGGCAACATTGCGGTCAGTAGGACACAGTAACAATGCCAACAGATATATTTTCCACACAGCAGCCTGATTTTCGTTTTTAGATGTTAACTGTTAGCACTGACCCTCCAGTGTTAGTCCATCCTGATAGTCTTTGTTGTAAGAGTAGTAGTACAGATCATGACGAACAGCCATAAGGAGTCCAGGAAGTCCCCTACTCCCACCCAGCTGGGAGGAAAACACCACATTTGGGATGGAGTCTTTCCCTGCAGGGTGAGGTGAGGGGATGGTCCTGAGGAGACGGCTGTCGTGGAGGCTCCAGAGCCGGGTGTAGCAGTCCTGACCCACTGCAAACAGCACACAATGAGATGTGGTACAAGCATTGCGATTGCACTGAACTGAAACTGGTTTATATGAAAAATATGTACCAGCAAGCAGCAATCCTTCTGGCTCATTGACATGAATGGGTAGATAGGCATATTCATTGTGGTGTCCTTCATACTGTTTGACGGACCGCTTAACACGGATGTCCCACAGCTTTATCTGTTCAGTGACAATATGAAGGGAGAATAAAAATAGGATCATTCAAAGCTCTAAATTGTTATTAATAGCATGATGGTCTGTGGTCATTTTATTTGCTTATCATAGACAGACCTTGCCCAGCATGTCAGCAGCGAGGAGGTAGTTCTCATCCTGTAGCAGTTGGATGGAGGTGATGGCTGACTCCTGGAAGAAGCGGCTGGTCTTCCAACCGTGACTGCGACCTCTGTCACGCTGACGCAGGTCAATGCTGAAGATCTCTCCTGAGCGACAGCCGTTGAACAGCACGGGAGCCTAAAATACGAGGAACATGGCACAAAGTGTCACACAGATACCTTTGCTCACATGCATAAAGTAAAAAAAAAAACGTGAGATAATATTTACAAAAGCTTTCCCCTGCAGAATGTTATTATTAAGAGTAAAAAAAACCTGATTCCTTGTCAAATTAGAAAGACTTCCTAATTTTACCAAATACATGTGTACAAGGGATAAATACAAATTTTGTAAACTAGATAACTGTTAGCTATTGGTTTTTGATAAATATTTTGATAAACCAAAAACTGCCATTCACTATAACTTTTAAAATCCTGGAGAGTTTAAACATGCTGTAGAAGATATTTTTTTTGTATTTAGGGCTATTATGCATTTCAAAAGGTGCACTCTTTTTTTGTGTGTTGTCGACTTGGACTTGTTCTTAAATTTAGTGGTATAGATGCAGCATTACACAAATCATTCATTTCTGTAAAATGAGGTAAAAATGACAGAGAGCACAATTAAATTATAGTAAAATTGAGGGAGACTGGGAAGTAGGAGGAGACAGAAAGTGACAGACATGATGT